GCTGAACCTAATGGTGTCTGGTCACTGGTCAAAAGCTTAGGTCAACAGCCTTTATCTCTGAGGGAGCAGTTTGCATCATGTGGCAATGTCTCCAGTTCTGACTGGAATTAAAGATCTCTTTGCTTGGCAGAGAGGCCTGGGGTCCTAGCCTGCCCGTTCGGGTAACAAGCAGTTAGTGGGATGAGACTTTCTGCTCACCACTCTCCTCCTGCTCCTCTCTGCAGGCTCAGCGTATTATGATAACGTCCGTCCCTTGGCCTACCCGGACTCAGATGCTGTCCTCATCTGCTTTGACATCAGCCGCCCGGAGACGCTGGACAGCGTGCTCAAGAAGGTGAGTGCCCGGTGTGCCTTCCGGCTGGCGAGATGGGTCCTCTGCAGCAGCACGTGGAGCCGCCCTGGGTTCCCTGCTTCCTGAGGCTGTCATCAGGGCTAAAAGCTCTGGCCCTGCGGTCAAGCCTTGGCTGGAGTTTGTGTGCTCAGATGGTCAGCGTCTGACGATCCCTACGTGGTCTGTGCAGAAAGCAAGATAATTTCCATTTGAAAGGAGCCCAGTGAACGGTGTAGCTCATGGTAGCTTGCAGCATGTGGGGGGGGTCTGTGTGTATGCACACATACAGATGTGGGGAGAGAAAGAAATGTAGGGCATTTGTTCTGTTTTTCATTAAGACCTTGGAAAGTGTTGTGCATCTCTCGTTAGCATAACCACCAGTGAGTGTGCTCTGAATTACTTGCAGCAGTTGAGAAGTGGCCCCTGGTGCCTGTTTCCATGCAAGTAGAAAGCTCAGTTTTTTGGCTGTCCCCTCAGTTCAGCATCTGCACAGTAAGAAAGAGAGCAATCAGTTCCCTATAGCTTGACAACAAGAATAATGAGCTGTGGCACTCAATTTCAAGCCCGTGAATGAATAAAATGAGATGGCACAATGCCACTGGACTGGATAGCATGCAGGGCCCTGAACACTGTCTGCCCTGGCAGAGCTGACTGGCCACGCTCTGTGTTAGCAGCCAAGAGTTTTCTACCTGCAGGTTAGTGCCTTTCAGCAAAGCAGATATTTCCAGCTGGCAGGTCTGGCAGGTCCCGGAGAGCCCCTCAGGGCTGGGGATCCGCTGTGGAGCACCGCTGGTTGGCCTCCCAGCAGGTCCCTGCCTGCCATGCTCTGGGGGAGTAGGTGGCACCCAGGGAGCGGTTCCCATGCAAGGCTTTCCTCTGAGATGGTATGAAGTCCAGCAACTCAGGATGCTGCGCAGGGGAGAGGCTAAATGGCCTCCGGGCCACTCGCATCCCTTGGTCCTGGCCTAACCCTGCTTCCTTCCATGAAACGCAGGGAGCTGGGGTTTCAGCGAGCTCTCACCGCTGTGCAGCAAAGCTGCGCAGAGCTCACTGGCTCACTGCATCCTGTCCCAGAGGCGAGTCTTGGCTGGCATCTCGTTTGTGAAGCTCTCTGAGACACCGAGGTGTGAAAAGCACTACAGAATAGCGATTCCTTTAGCTGCTCTCCCCAGTGAGCCCCAGGCTGCCGGGGCTGGACTGGCCACTGTCTGAACAAGTCGCGTTGTACTGACTGCCCTCTTGGCCTCTCCACACGTTGCCAAATGTTGTGCTGAAGCAAGTGCCTCTTACTCAGCTGCTGGGAGGGCTGAGAAGTGGGCCTGTGTCTCAGAAGTGTCTGATGAGGGGACAAAGACCCTTCAGATAACTCAGTCAATGGCTCAGTGTTTGTTTCCAAAGCAGGTCCTGGGTACCAAGTCTGCTGGGTGGAGGGAAGCGTGTTTCATGTGGACTGAAAGAATTCACTGCTCAGCTTGGGAGTCAGCAGAACGATAGTGCAAGCAAATCACTTATACCTTAATGAGATGCAAACCCATTAATAATTAGCTGGGGTTGGGATTTATTTATGTCTCTCTGCACACTCTTTATGTGAGTCCACACTGCTCAGTGCAAGGTCTTCCCTGTGCAGCCTCACAGATGCTTTGAGTACCGTTAGGCAATGTCTTTTTGGTACGGTGACTTAAAATAAACCCTAAATCACAGGGGATTTCTTAAGTGCCTCTGAGTAGATGCCTTGTTTCCTTTGGTGCAGGCTTGCAGCCTACGGAGGTGAGGAAAATTCCTAAGACACCATGAAGCTGAAATGGGTTTTAGCTTTTGATATCAGGCGAGTAAGGAAAATAACACTCCCTACTCAAGCCTCAGGCAAAAATGCTAATTCAGCAGAGGAAATCTTTATTATTGCTGCCCTTCTGATGCCTGGGCTGCCTGTACAGCATGTACAGTTGAAGGGAAGGAGCCATCTGAGAGAATGCAAACAAGCAGCTCTTCATTTCATACAAAGCAGGTTTTTGTGGGGTGGTGCCTTCATTCTGACAAGTCTTGATAGCGCAGCACATCTTAGGCTCCCTAAGGTGTCAGTCATGTGAGAAGGGGGTCACACCTCTCTCCATAGACCAGGGAGCCTTATGTCATTACAGGCAGCCGTGACCTCTGCCTGGTAAGAACAGACGCTATAGCTCAATCCCTTCAAGGATTTTCATCCATCAGGTAAATTAGAGTGCTTGAATTCCAGCTCCAAAAGAACTGCATCGTCCTCCTCTTGCGGGTGTGTTAGCCCCTGACACTGTGTGGCTGTGACACCAGAAATCTCCCAGAAGCTCTGCAGCCTGGCAGCAGGGAAAGGGGGGTTCATGGTGAAGATACTTGAGCCCATCTTCTGGTGGAAAATAAGATTTTTCTGTATTTTGCAGTTGCTTTGGTCTGATATTGGTTGAATGAAACCTGGATCATTCTTGGCACTTCCTTTCCCCACCAGGTTATGGACACTGGGTTGTGGGCTTGGTTTTCTTCCCCCTTCTAATTGCCTAGGGTATATGCTTAACCATCAGTTAGCATAGCAGGAAATCGCTAATTCCAAGTGACATCTTTAGCTGGGGGTAACCTCTATTTGTCATCTGCCTCCTACTTCAGAATCACTAGATAAGTAACCAGGGTGTTGACATGCTGATGGGGCTGTACAGGTCTCCCCTGGGGGAGGTCACAGGTGATTGTTTATGTACTGCTGCGGACACTTAGCTGCACAGTGGGCATTCATTTTTGGAGCTCTGAAAGGGACCGTCAGTGCGAAGGAAGTGGATGTTTGCCCCAACCGCCTCCTTCCATTGCTTCAATTCTTTATTTCCCTGGCTGTAGCTACGCTCTGAATGTCTTGATGTCTTTAACATGTGGCTTCCAATAATAAACAAATAATGAGTGTGCTGTGCAAAGAGCTCCCCGCTGACTGTGGTTCAAAAAGTCCAGCGAGGTTGACCTTTGGAGCCCCAGATCTGTGCACCAGACTGTGTGGTCATTTTTCCACAGTCATACCCAGGAGTGGTCTCCTGTGGCCTAGCACAGGGGCCAGCAGCTTAGATTTAACAGGTTTGTAGGACATATCTGGAACAAGTGAGCATAAGTTATCCGAGAGGCACTCCGACCATTCCCATCCTTGCCTGTGGCAGTCATTACAGTGCCCTGATGAGCTAATCAGTCTCTGAACAGCTGTCACCCCCGTTTGGGAAAGCCATACACACCAGAGTGTGCAGTCTTGGCCTCTGAGGTCTGCTTTCCAAACCCGATCCCATTAGAGCCTCATGTTATATTCAGAACACCGAAAGCTGTCCCTGTGTTTCTCGTCTTCAGCACACTCTCCAGAGCCGCTCCTGGCCTGCGTCCTCACTGAGAACCCCCGCTGACCGTGGTGACCATCATTGCCCGTGCCCCTTCCCCTCTTCCGGAAATCTGGGCACGCAGGCTGCAGCGGGGCCAAAACCAGCCTCAGTGCTGGCACCAGCCCACCGAGGCAGGAGACCTAAAAGCAGTGTTGCAGTGACTACCAGTAGCAGTCCTGGTACCCTGACCGGTCCAGTTCCAGGTCCTGTGCAGAGATGAGCCAGGCCAGGGCAGTTTGGCTGATGGTCAGGAGGTGCTGGGACCCTGGGCTGCCACAGTTGTTGTTCCTCTGTGGGAGAGGGAAGTGCCGTTTGCTAGTGGGGGCAGGAGAAGCTATGGACCAGAGTCGTGGGCTCTGCCACGGCGGTGTGGCATGGAGGTGTTCGGCTGGATGATGCTGTCCGGTAGGAACTGATGGCACAACTCTCCTGGTCTGTCCTTCCCTCCAGGGCTGGGGGGTCTTGGACGGGGCTCTTGACCTGGTTGGAAAGGGGCTGGGAGCGACGAGCTGAGACCCTGTGATGGCCTTTGTTGTTCCAACCTTGACCCTTTCGCAGGCTGCCTGCTGGCAAAATTAACTTGACGTGGAGGTGCTGCTGGGCCTCTTGAAGTGTCTTATACACCAGCAGCCCCTGAGCACTTTCTCCCTCTTGTCTCCTCTGCAGTGGCAAGGGGAAACTCAGGAGTTCTGCCCCAATGCGAAGATTGTGCTGGTCGGCTGCAAGCTGGACATGCGGACAGACTTAAACACGCTCCGGGAGCTTTCCAAGCAGCGCCTCATCCCTGTGACGCACGAGCAGGTGTGTTTCAGCAGCTGTCCCCATAGGGCTCAGGGAGGTGAGGTGGGGACTTTTCTGCAGGACCTACTAGTACAGGGAAGCTCAGCAGCAAATGACCCTCTGTGCCCGGGTCTTGGTCTGAAGCTGGTTTGATCTTGGCTCCTGGACTCTGAGCTGCTCATGCTTACACTCTTTTCACCAGCTCTGGCAGACCTTGACTTATTCCTGATGCTCTCTGCTGAACAGCCTCCTGCTTAGTAGCTGAAAAGTCTTTCCTCAAAGGTGGTGGAGATGCCTGATTTGACAAGTTGGACTACCTAAAAGGGAGTGTTGTGCTCCTGCATCTCCTAGTTCAGTGCAGCTCTTTCTGCTCCGAGTGACTCTCCTGCTCGGGTTCTATGTTGGGGCAATGCTGCTGGGGGGGGCAAACCACAGCTGGGGGGTCTGAGGGTCTGCTCCTGGGCTGCTGCAGCTGCCAGTGGACCCAGCAGTGTCTCCAGGCTGGCCTGGAGACCCAGTCTCTGTGGTGCAGTGCAGGGGCGGCTGCGCCCTGGGCTGCTCTGTGCCTGGCTCCGTGTTGTGCAGAGCAGGTCCAGCTGACTGTCCTGGTAAGAGGGGTTGTCCAGGCCCTCAGCTGCAGGGGTGGCACCGTGCTAGTGAGAAAGTGCAAGTGATTCAGGGTCCAGCGCCCAGCAGCACTGTCTGCTTGGGAGGCCACCCTCACATCTGGTGCTCCCACAGACGCTTGCACTTCATTTACAGAGGCGATGAGTAAACACTGTGAGAGAGCGCTGCTCCCAGCTGTGCCACGGTGCTCTGACAGGGCTGCCAGCACAGACAGGGCTGATGGTGATGTGAAAGGATGCTCCTTGCAGAGCGCTGCTGTCTTAACCATCTTCCCTCTTCCTCCCACTCTCTCTGGACCGCAGGGCAGTGCGCTGGCACGGCAGATTGGGGCAGTGGCCTATGCAGAGTGCTCCTCCAAGGTCTCGGAGAACAGCGTACGGGATGTGTTTCATGTGACCACACTTGCCTCGGTCAACAGGGTGCACAAGAACTTGAAGCGCAGCAACTCGAAACGGGGACTGAAGCGGGCATCACAGATGCCTGGCAGGACGGACTTACTGAATGACACAGAGATCAGGAAAGACCGAGCCAAGAGCTGCTCCATCATGTGAAAAACAGGCTGTAAATAATGTGTGTGTGTTGTCCATTTTGTACAGTAACTGGCTGAGACAAGGGCATGGTGCTGGCTGCAGGAGCCAGCCTGCCTTTCCAAAGCCTTTCGCTCAGTCTCTAGGACTGAGCTAAGGTCCCAGCTGGAAACCGGGGTGCACGAGTCGCCCCCCACCGTGGAGACTTCTGGGTTGGCTGCTGCTGTGCGGATTGCTTGGGGTGAAGGAACAACTTGGCAGAGGAGTATTCAGGTGCTGGAAGGTTTGTGACTGGGTGAAACAAAGTAAAGGGAGCCATCCTGTGCGTGTGCCGCCCTCCTGCACCCATGGCCCAGCCTCTGCGCCTGTGTGCAGCTATACAGCACACACAGCGTGGGGCAGTGGGCTGTGTGGGACCTGGGCTGGAGGGTGGGAGATGGGTAGAATTGCTAGCAGCAGAGTGCGATCAAGAGAAGGCATTCTTCGAATCTTCCTTTAGAAGAGAAATTATGTTTGAGGTGGTACTGCCTTCAGCTAGGCTGGACAGCAAGTCATCATGGAAGATGCAGGTCTGGGCCAGAGCTGGGAGGGAAGGCACCCTCTGAAGGAACCTTAACCTGACGAGACACCACGGTAGTCCACCTCCTGTGAAGAAAATAGATAGGTGGCTCTTTACACGATATTTTAGATACTTGAACTCCATTTGAAATGCAGCAGAGTGGATCTGGCTCCAAGGGAGAGGTCATCCTGAGAGTTGTGGTTCCCCTCAGCAAGCAAATGCCACTCGGGAGCTTGTGTCCCAGCTGCTGACGGCCTGGTTACTCATCAGACTGCTCCCTGCCACGGGCAGCTGCGCTTCCGAGGCACATAGCTTCCGAAAAAGCAGACTGCAGTAACTATCCATATCCTGCTCTCCACCCATTTCCAGCTGCGGATTGTGTTGCATGGTGCTGTGTTTGTCTGGTACAGATAACCAAAAAGATCATATGCGTATCTGCACCCTGTCTCCACCGTGGCAGTGGGAGGGAAGGTGCTCCCTGCCCCTCTTGCCCTGCTGTACAGCCTCCTCCCAACTCCTCTCATTGCTTCTGCTGCTGCCCTCTCTAAATGCCTTTGACTGCAGTGTTAGCCTTGACTTAATGTCACATAGACACTTTAAGGAAAAAAGAATCTGCTCCATTGCCAGATCCAGCTGTGTCAGTGGGCTACAGAAAACAAATAAACATCATTGGAAAATGCACAGTGCTTGACTCTGTTCGTTTTTAATAGTCAAACCAAACAGGCATCCTCTCAAAATGTCTTATTGCCTAACTTCTATTTGTATCCTAATGTATCTCTCTAGCTCTTGAAATACACTCACACATACACTTGAGTGAAAAATGCAGAGGACTTAGCTGCATGTATTCATTTTTGAGCTGAAACACCTGCCTTGAATAACCTCTCACTCCATCCTGAATCCTTAAACACTGTGGAGAATTTGCAGGTTGTCTATGCCTGGTCCACCAGTCTGAGCTGACGTGAGCTGCCCCCATCCTCAGTATGTCAATAGCTGCAAGTGAAGATAGCTTTTGACTTAATATTTTGTGTCTACCCTCCCACCCCGGTCTTAGACTTCAGCTGCATCGTGAAGGCTATTTGGGGAATTGGAGCAGCTGAGTTACCAGCACAAGAAAAGCTCAAGCAATGACTGAATGCTGTTGTGCTGGGTGCAGGTTGCAAGAGCATGAAAATGCCCATCTGCAGTCTGGGAGGAAAGAAACTGAGCAAGGCGCTATGCCAAGAACAGCCTTCAGTATCACGATGCTTTTCTCTTACTCTGCAGGTTCCCAGAGCCTTTGCAAACATCAGTGAACAAAACCATGCCCCTGCTTGAACAATAGCAATCAGTGGCTCCCAAGTGTCACCAGCAAGTCCTCTTAACCTGTGTGCATTTGTTCTCATCATCCTCGTGTAATATAATCAGTGTCTTCCTTCTTTCCGCATAAGCACAGAGCATTCGGCAAGCACATCTGCCTTTTTCTATCATCTAGCATCTTTTAGGCTGTTGAATTTAATCTGGCAGTCTCTACAAATGCAGTTTCTGGTCCAGTGATTAGTTTAAACTCCCAGTGGCTCTATATTAACTTGTAAGCTCAGCCTATAAGCAAATCTCCAGTAGTGGGTAGCAATTGTCAAACCTGAGCTGTGCCTAGTATAGGTATATGAAGGAATGGCTGTTGCTGCAGAAGGTGGCTGTAAGGCGCACTGGGGTGTCAGCTGGGTGCCTGTTCCCCCCCAACACCTGCACAGGGAGGTCTGGGGAGATGCAAGAAAACCAGCAAAGTCTGCAGAGGCGCTGCAGGTGTCAGGCTGTTTAACCAGGGTGGAGATAAGCAGGAGGGGCCATGGCTGAGGCGTGTGATAGACCAAACAGAAGAGTTTGGCAGGAGAGAGGATATCCCATTTGCCTAAACAGTGAGCAGCAGGATTGAAGTGCCAGGCACCGGCTGCTCGCCCTGCCTGGCCAGGGGCTGTGTCAGCACCACGCTCCCCTCCCTCACTTCGGGAAGAGACGCTGCTGCTGAGGGTGCTGTGCTGCCGTTGTGCAGAGCTGGTCCTCAATGGAGACAGGTTCAGCTGCCTGGCAGCTCCCCACAATGCTGTCCTGCTTTCTTGGGTCGTTGGTGCGGAAAGATAACGCAGCCCCCAGTGGCCCTGGCTGTTAGCTCTGCTGTCGCCACAACAGTGCTTCCCTTCCTGCTGCTGGTGATTTTCTTTTTGTACACTGAACTTCCCAGGCTCTTGCTGCTCAAATGGCCCTCAGGGAGGATTGTGGCAGTGTAAAGACCCACGTCCAAGCAGCAGCTCTGGAAGAACCAGTCAGAATTAATGGCAACCAAAACCTCTCAAGAGACTAAGGCAAGTGAACCAGCCTCCAAGACTATTTATCATGAAGTATCTGAGCTGGATCCTTGGGTGGGATGAAGTAAAGATGTTAAAGCCCATGGGGCTAAGCTCTTAGATCCTCGGTTTCCTTCAGCAGGCTCCTTTCTTGCAGGCACGTGAGCATTTCTGCTGCTGCTCATGGCCCAGGTACAGAACCCAGGACAGCCGAAGGTATTTTAGGGTGCTGACCTCTAAGGAAGTGGTTTCCAGGAGGATGGAGCATTGCAGTCCTGCTCTGTCAGTGCATTTACTGCATCCACCTGCCTCTGCACGGTACCCAACGTCTCTCTAAACACTTGGGGCATTTGCCATGTGCTGCCGGGAGCATCTTAATGTGGGACCAGGGCTTTCTTCATGCCTGCCATAGTGGGGACAGCCTGACACGCTCCCAGCTGAGAGACGTGGAGGGGCAAGAGGCTGCGACTGGCAAACCTAGAGAAAGCTACTACAGCCCAAGGATTCCCAGCAATACATGCACTGGAAGCCATGAGAGAAGAGAAAGGTGCACCCTGCTCGGTGAGGGAAGCTGCCAAAAGGCACTGCGAAAGCTCTGGGCTCAGCTTTCCCCTCCAGAAAAAGCTAGCCGCAGCACGGGCCGCGAGGAGAAAGCTATACCCGAAGGTGAGCGGTGCCTGGGGAACAGAGGCACTCGGATGGGTTCGTGATGCCAGCGGGCCTGTCCAGCACACACATGGCCTGCGTGCCCCCAGCCATCCCCACCAGCAGAAAGCCACCAGCACCAGAGCGCTGCGGAAACGATCCACGTGGTGACAAAAGCCCAGACAGCCGGGTTTAATGGCCACAGCCCACCCTGGGGCCGGGGGTCAAGGTGAAGAGGCCCAGCACCAAATGCAAACTGACATTCATAAAGGGCTCCCCCAGCGTCCTGGAAATGTGCAGAGACATGGCTGGGTCACTGCTGACAAGGAAAGCTTTATAGATCAAAAGCACAAGGCAGAAAAGAGTCTGACCTCTGTGAATCAGCAGTGGGGCTAGGAGGGCAGGGGCGGTGGGAGCCGGCAATCACCAGAAGCTTCACACAGCAGCCTGTCATTTCACAGCCACTGAGAAATGCAGAGAACAGAGGATGGTGATGGTCCTTCTGACCTAGTGGCAAGCAGTCAATGCACTGCTGCTACTTCTACAGGTAGATAGACCTCTACAGTCCATCTAGTGCCCATCTGCCCCCTAAGTGGGAGGGAGCAGGGAAGAGAAATGTGGAGCTGCAGAGGAGGGGCAATCAGGCAAGAGAGCATTCACAGGGCATTTGTCTGGGAGCCTGAGCCCCTTGACTCCCTCAGTGCTGCCGTTCTATGCAGGCACCGTGTTTTTAGAGCACTGCAAAGGTTGTGTGGGCGAATGCCTGAATATGTTAAACTGGACAGAAGGGATTAATCTTGCTGGTTGTCCATACAGCTCTTGCCCTTGTGTTTTGCCTCGTCTTGGAGTGGGCAGGAGGGAGCAGCAGCCACCACGGCATGGTTCCGAAGCAGCCTGAGCAGGAACAAATAGAGGCTTACTTCCACACGTTGGAAGTGGTGGTGGGGCTCCGGCAGGGACGAGGATGTGTTGCCATCCCCTGTGAGCTGTGAGACAGACAAAGGGACAGCATAACACTTCCCAGGATCTGTCCTGAGGACAGCTGAGAGAGCGGGGCTGTGTGGCGCAGCTTCCCCTCCCTGAAGGCTTTAACCACGTGCATTGCCGCAGCGTTTGCGCAGCACACCAGACTAAACCTCCCAAAGTAAACCTCCCAAAGCACACCTTGTGGAGGTGTGGGGGCCTCAGCATCACCTGTTTCAATTTACGGAGCTGTTTCTACTGTGTTGAATGCCGTGCTGGTGTAGACATGCTGGCTTACAGTGCTGTCAAGACTAGAGAAAGCAGAACAAATGTGTTGATCAAGACTTGCAGCTCAGAAGTAGTGGGCTGCATGAACAAGGTTCGTTACAGTCAGGGGAATCTACAATGCCCACTCCCACAAGATCCCCCCAAGTAAGGAAAGGAGGACATGAAACTCAAAATTGCCTCTACAAAGAGGCAGCTGTATTATATATGGTCTTCCCTCTGCTTTCCACAAGACACATTCAGGTGACATC